ATTAATTCAACAATTACCAAAATACAATTAAATAAATAATTAATCAATTAAGTCAAATAAACAAACAAATACATAAATAAAACAAAAAAAAAAAAAATTTAATTAATTACCAGGACTATCCTTTTAAAATTAGGGGTATTATAGTTAGGCTCGAGCACCCTAAAGATAAGGCTCGGGCTCTTAAGGTACAAGGCTCGAGCTTCAATGCCTTGCTAATTTTTCTTCTTTTACTTGCATGGCTCGAGCCTCAAGACTTGGGCTCGAGCTCTGGATCTTGAATTTTTTTAAACTTCATCATTTAAGCTCTCAGCTTGCTTTGGATGACCGGCAACGACTCTATAATCTTTGGATCAGTCTTTTCATCATAAAAATCCGGTTTTAACCATTTCTCTTGGAAAGTACCTACAAACACACATTAAACATAAATCAGTCTAACAAGGGCTAGATATATCACTTTAGGCCTTAACATATGTATATTTAGGGGCTTGAATATGCGATATTTAGCGTTCATCAACATACTGCTGCATGGAGATAAAAAAAAAATAAATAAATAAAAATAAAAAGTTTTAAAAATTGTGTATATTTTACACATTAACACATTATTGTAGATGCTCTTTGGGAATACAAAGTCGATACATATATGTATAGGTGATAGACATATATACCGCAGTGGGTAGTGTGTAGCGGTGGTGATACAAAAAAAGAATAAACCCTTGATTTATACATGGTGGTGGTGGTGGTGGTTAACGACTTGGTGGCAGTGGGTGGTGGTGATGGTGATACAGATGTGTGTGTGTGCGTGTGTGTGTACATTTTGTGGAGATTGGTCTGGTGAGAAATTGTGATTTTATTCGATGAAAGTTGCAGGAACAAAAAAGAGTGAGTTTCAGGGCAGAGAAAGAGATATGGAGATGGAAAAGAGATGAGGAGATTTGAGAGAGAGAGAGAAGGGTCAGGAGAGATTAATGCGGGTGTTCTTGGGTTTGTCTCTCCAGGAAAATAGGTACGCTGGTAGGGGTGGTAAGAGAAAATAAGAGAGAGAAAATGAGTAAAGAGAGGGGGTGGGGGAGGTGGTGGTGGTGGTGGTGTTGGTGTTGGTGTTTGGTAGTGGCGTGTTTATCTGTGGGTTTGAAGAGAGAGAGAGAGAAAGAGTTTTGAATTTGAGAAAGGTAATTGAGGTTATTGGTAGCGGTAATTTGTCCTAATTGTATAAGTACCTGTCAAATATGAAATTGTATTTGTATAGTTTATTGTATTAGTAATTACATTGTGTTCAATGACTTTATATACATCCATTCTTTTTCCGTATATGTCATATTTGTAATTAGGCCTCCAAAAGTAGTCATTTATTAAAAAAATTCAATTAGAAAATGTTTTATTTTTATTTATTATTTATTATTTTTTGGTGTTGAGATTAAGGGAAGGGGTGTTTGGTAGGTGTGTATCCTAAAAAGCAATGACAATTCTTCTAGATGTGTTGTGGTAGTATCAGAGACTCAGACGCGAATTAGACACATGGACATAGCTTGAGTATATGTCGAACACGGCTAGAAATGTCCTGAAATTTAAATATTTTTTTCTTGGACACAATTGGAAGACGCTACGGACACGATAATGACATGTTTTGGACACTTTGAGGACACAAAGAATGTGATTTTATAATTTTTTTTTTTTTTTTAAAGAATGGGATTCAATGTAATTTAAAATATATTATTGGTTAATTAAAAATATAAATAAATTGAAGAAAACAAAAATAACAAACATCTAACTCTAAGTTCTAAATTAGTGATTTCATTCATGATTGTATGGATAAAATAAATTATTATTTATATATATAATAATAATATATTATAAGGTAAAGTAAAAAAAAAAAAAAAAAAAAAAAAAAAACCCTTTGAACTATTAGCCTTTTGCAAAAAACCTATATGTCCCTGAACTAATAATTTATTACAATTAAGGACAAACTCACCACAAAAGATTATTTTACCATGCTTTATAATTTTTTTTTTATTAAATTATTTTATTATCTTTTCTCTTATATATATATATCATAATTAGGTGATATTGTATTGATAAAAAATTGGTAGGATTAGTACATCATACCCTCACATTAGGAACACCTTAACTATAGAGGAATAGAATCTTATCTAAATATTAATTTTATCATTTATATTAATTTTATTATTAGTATCAATTTATCATAAAAATAGAAAAGATGATAGACTTATAACTACCATTTTTTAAACTGATTAACTTATTATTAAAATTTTATTATTTATAATAAAATTTATTCTATACTCAATTTAAAATTTTTTACTTTAAAAAAGATACTTTTTTTTTTTTGTCCATACAATATATTCAAAAAAAAAAAACATTAAGAAATTATTTAAATTGTTTAAAAATTTTCCACTTAAGATATTTATTTAAACAATTAATTTCAAGAATTAAAGGTCAAATTATGCAAAATTAATAGAGAATATGTCATCAAATTAGTATGAATTTTTTTTTTTTTTTTTTTCATAATCTATTTTAATAAAAAAAAATTGTTTTAAGTTTAATTCATTAAGAAATGATATTATGATTATTTAATAAAAAAATTAGCTCAGGTATGGAGTCATTTTGTAATAAAATGTGATAATTGAGAAATTTTCTATACTTTACATTACATTATATTATTATTATTTAACATATCCATAAAGTAGGAGTCCACTTTCTTAAAAATTTTTGTATCGCCATTTTTGTATCATATCATATACGGGTTCCAAATTTGTGTATAGTATTATACTTAGTGTCCCTTATTCGTATTCAGGTTCACGTTTGCCTGTAGACCATACTGATTCAAAACATTGCGACTGGGCTTGTGAAATTCAAGTGCACATAACGAAAAATCGTCTGATAAAGTGATGGTAAATATTATATTGGCCTTGGACATGGCCAGTATCTTTCATTTGCTTCACAAATGAATTCCATATTAGAATTTTTTAGATAATTGCCCCGTGATTAAAGGTTTTGCAGTCTATTGATATTTTTTTTAATTTTTAAATTGAATGGTGAGACTAGTTTGAGTTCTCAAGGACAAAGTGAGTGGGTAATTGGAGTGTGTATTTCTTGCGAATGAAAAATAATAATAATAATAATTACCCTGTGAAATGGAGGGACTGAATGTGTCGGATGAGGGATTATTGGGTGAAGCAAGTTAGTTGCGCCCAACAATACCCAACCCGAGTTAGGGTTGGTCTTCGGCTTGATTTGTAATACTAGGCTTGGTTATGGGCTAGATTTTAATAATAGGGTTGGTCTTGGGCTTTCTGTTCTTGCCCAATGGCCTTGAGTTTATATGTTTGTAAACCGAACCTAACCTGAAGAAGTTTCTATAGTAATTACATTTGCTACTTTTATTATTTATTATATTAGAGTTGAATCCAACCAATCCATTTTCATCCAAGGGCTAGTATACATCCTAAATAATCACTTTACCTCTTCAGAACTTGTAAGAACCCTAATCCACTGATAAAAGACGATTCACCCCCACTTGCTTCCAATCATCACACCACTTTGAAGGTGTCACAAGGAGGACGGACCTAGAACTTTAGATAAGGCAGGCATAATTCAAATTATAATAATTTTAGGAGGGCATTAGCAATATTTTAAGAGTATATAGAGAAAAAGAAAAAGAAAAAATAACATGGTATATTAGTTAAAAATTAAAAATTTAGGGAAGGGTGGGTTGCAATTGCATCACCTCACTTGCTAATAAGTCTGTTCCTGGTTACAAGACATGTCTATAACATGAATACATGTGAGACACAGCTCTACGTGTCTAACACAGCTAAAAGTGTGATAAAATTTAAATTTTCCTTGCTAGAAGCCGGGCATGAAAATGATGAGGACAAATCTAGGACACTTCAAGACACCATTGGTTATTTTGCAATTAATCTCTTAAAAAGGGAATTCCAATGTCAATCTAAAACATGCTATGGGTTAATTGAAAATTTGATATAAAGTTACAGAAAAAAATAACAACATTTTCACTGATTACACTCCAGATAATGCAGATAAAATCATGAATAATATATATATATATATATATATATATATATATATATATTTTTTTTTTTGTGTATATACTATATAATAATATATATTATATTATGATTCTTTAACATAATCCTATCCTTCTCAACTTTTCGATTTGTGGCATTGTGATTGCTTTGTGAAGTTGCATTTTGCATTTACAAGTTCCTTTGAGATGTTTTATGGTAGTTTCAGAGCTGAATAGGTGTAGTTTGCTGGTTTTATTGATTTTTAAATTATTTTTAAATTATAATCATTTACAACACAATAAATCAATCACACAAGCAATAAAAATAAAAATAAAAATAAATAAGAAATTTAAGGTATGACACACAATTTTTTATGTGAAAAACATCAAAGAGAAAAATTATGGAAACCTAGCACACACTCTCTTTCTGGCTAAACAATATACCCCAGTCCGCTATTCGGAATCGCTGATTGTTAGCAACTCTCTCTCTCTCATTCATTTGGGTGTTTCTCAAAAACTTTGACGAGTCTCGGCTACATATAAGTAAAAAGTAAAATAAAATTGACACAAATCTAACACATTGACTTATGTGTTAACAAGTGATTGACCCGGAACCAAATAATCCTGGAAAAGCTGCCCGAATTGCATCCAAATAAAGGGTATTACAAAAGGTTGATAAGCTGTAAAATCCAAGAATCATAAGAGTATGCAACGAGAAGAATAGGACATCTGAGTATGTTTGGAATTCGAAAAGAAGCAGCATCAACAAAAGAACTCCAAAAACGGTGGATATGCAAATATTCGAGGTGGTACTGGTTGTCCAAATTACATGGCCAAGTTACAAAGTCACAGGGGCTTGTGAACCAAACAGAGTGGGACCGGAATCCAATTATGAATGATAAAGTAAATTTCACTCTAGCAAATTAATGACATATTCTCATTATTATTAAAAAAAAAAAAAAAAAAAAAAAAAAAAAATGGGGAAAATATAAATTAATGACATATTCTATTTCTATTGAGAAAAAAAAAATGGAAAAAAGAAGAAGAAGAGAATATGTCATTTCTCATAAGAAGATGAAGTTTAAAATGCAGATTGGCACCCACCAAGAAGCAAGCATAAGCATCAATGAACCATAATCTAATTACTTGGGGTTCAATTCTAAATGAAAATCTTTTCATGTTTCAAATTACAAACACTTTTTTTTTTTCCCTAGTTACAAATTACAAACACTAACAAAATAACCCGCAAATCCAACAGCATTTACGTGTTTTAAATCTCTAAAATTCTCCTCCCTTTCACCTTTTCTGCAAATGACATAATAATAATAGTAGATGAACTAAGAAAAAGAAAGTTTGTCAAGATAGAAGAGGAAGCAGCAACTCCAAGTGAAGAGAATGATTTTCCTTAATGTGGTCTGGCCAAGGAAATTTTTCCGGCACTTTATCATGAGCTTCAGTCCATTTCAAAAAATATCTTTTGAAAGTTGAAATATATTCCAATTGCAATAAACTTGATCTATATCACGACTATTTCTATCAGGATTCAGCAAACTCATTCATCAATTTAACCATACACGCTTCAATCTCAACAGCCATCCTCATCACCTAGGGCTGCAGCTACGTAGTACTTACTCACCTTGTAGAAAGTCGAGAGTCCAAGTCTGCAAAGGGAAAAGTGGTTGTGTGAGTTTTACTTTTCCAACTTAGATTCAGCAAACTCGTTCCTCTTCTCAACCCAACTGGAACCAGGTTTCTTATGGACCCCCATAGCCTTCATAAGCTGCCTCAAATGCTCAACCTCTTTCCACTCTCCATCAGCAGCATAAATATTTGACAGAGACACAAAACCAGCAGGTCTCTTTAATTCCATCCTCAAAATATCCTCAGCCATCTTTTTAGCCAAATCTCTTCTTTCGTGAATTCTACACCCATTGAAGAAAGCCCCCACAACTGAATCTGTAATTTCCATTGACATTTCGTTCACCAAATCATAAGCTTCTTCCATCCTCCCAGAACGACACAGAAGATCAACAACACAAGCATAATGCTCTTTGCTGACTTCAACCCCATAATTCTCTTTCATAGACCTAAATATCTTTAAACACTTCTCAACTAAACCACCATAGCTACAGGCACAAAGAACACAAATCAAAGTGACTTCATTTGCTTGCATTCTTTCATCTTGCATCCTCTGAAAAAGTTGGATTGAGCTATCAACCAAGCCATGCTTCCCGTAACAGCCAATCATAGCATTCCATGATGCTACATTCTTAACGGGAATTTTGTTAAAAACATTCGAAGCGTCCTTCACAGACCCACATTTCGAGTACATGTCAATAAGAGCACTAGCAACAAAGACATTAACACAAAGTTCCATCCTATATATGAGGCCATGAATTTCTTTTCCACTTCGAATTGAACCTGTTGATCCACAAGCAGGTAGCAGTCCCGTGACGGTCACCTGATTGGGCTTGAGCCCAGCAATCAACATGTCCCGAAACAACTCCATAGCTTCAACATATTTTTGGCTTTGAACAAATCCTGAAATCATTGCATTCCAAGTAACCAAATCAGGAATGAACCCTTCTCTTCTCATTCTAGAGAACAGTGTGAATGCGCTATTGCAATCTCCTCTCCGCGCATAACCTGCTATCATTGCATTCCATGTAAACTCGTTCGGTTCCAATCCTTCCAGCTTCATCTGCTCAAACAAGACAACCGACTGATCAATCTTTCCCACATTAGAATACCCACAAATCATTGATGTCCAAGAAGCAACATCTCTCTCAGTCATTCTATCAAACACCTGCCGGGCATAGCGCAGATTCCCACATTTATAGTACATATCAATTAAAGCATTACCCACAGATACACCTGACTCAAATCCCATTTTACTTGACATAGCATGAACTTCCTTCCCCTTACACAAATCCATTAAACCAACACAAGCTTTCAATACAATGGAAAATGTATAATTATTAGGAATATTTCTTGATTTTTCCATCAAAGAGAAGTACCCAATTGCCTCTTCATAATACCCATTGAACGACGAAGCGAAAATCATCCAATTGAATGCGAAAACATTTGGTTTTGGAGTGCTTTGAAACTTCAGCTTAGCAGACTTCACATCCCCACAAATTGCGTACACACCAATAATCCTAGAGTTCAAAGACAAGATGCTCATATTAACACCAGAAGCTAATAAGAAAGCATGAATTTGTTTGCAGGGTTTCAATGCCTTCGCTTTCAGGCATTTTTGCAGTAGCAAGCTCAAATTATCCAATGACAAGATGTTTGATGTCAACAATGGGTACTTCATCCTTAAACATAGTCCTCCATCAGCAACAATTAGATAATCCAAGATTCTATCAAAGCCTACTTTTTGTATAACAAGAGAGTGCCCATAAGACTCACGCCAATCCTCAACTCACCTCACGACTCACGAGTAGGCCTGTAAACTTATTGGATTCGGATCGGATCCAATCAGTCAAATTCACATTAGATTTGTTAAGTTAAGATTTTGAATTATTTTGAATTTATTATTATTATTATTATTATTTTTTTTTTTTTTTTTTTCCAAACAAAAATTAAAATGACATATTGTGATGTTTCTAAATTTTCGTCATTTTTTATTTTTTCGAATTTTTGTCGTCGTAAGGGCATTTTCGCCTTTTATCGTTTTGAGTATCGGATATCGTGGGGTGTGCTGGTTGTGTTTGGAGTTGGTTAGGACATTTCATTGAGTTCAAGGCTCTTTGAAATACAAGATTTGTCATTTTTACATTTTTTTCATTTTCGGGCCGGACGGTCCCCGTGTGGGACTCGCTACCGGAATTGTTGCATACGGGTATTTTAGTTGGGTTCATTTGTATCATATTTATTTTTATATATTGTGTTTTAAGAGATTGTAAATTAAATGTGTAGGCATATATGTATGTGTTGTAAAATAAGAATAAAAGAAAAAATGAAAATTAAAAAGAAATTGGTGGGACTCACCACCATTTTTAAGTGCTCATGAGACCACACCCTTCGTCTCATTCTCTCTTTCTCTCCCGCTGTTCTCTCTTACCCTCCTCAAGCTTCCATTTTTCTTTTCCATCTTACTTCAAATCTTCAAAGTTTGATATCTCCCTTAATACTTAGAATTTTTGAAAGCCGTTTGCGGCAAATTGAAGCCTACGACAATATCTACAAGTTGATCGGAGCAATTTTTAGTTTGGTGCACTCTAGGAGGTTCGAGATATAAGGCACAATTTGGGAATTTTGACTTAGATTGAAGTAGGGGTCTCTAATACTTAAATTCTTGTTCCTTTGTAAGTTTTTTTTTTATTATTATTATTTTAATTATTGTCAAGCATGATTAAATTGAATTGATTGTTCCTTAGATAATTTAATTGAGTATATGAACCATGTAATTATATGTATTTATTGATTTACTTAGAAAGTGTGCCTAATGTGTTAATTTTCTATGCCTATGATGCTTAATAATTTGTTAAAAATTTTATATGCAAACATGTTAATTGTGTGATAATAATTCTCTCCATTTCCATAGTATATAAAAGACATGTGATATGCATACAAGCAGTGGGCATGAAAGAAAAGGGAAAGTGTTTTGAAATGAAATTGAAAAGGGGATTTTGGGGAGAAATTTGAAAAAATGGTTTTGAGAAAACCCAGTCGCCGTGGAGTCACCAAAGGGCTGGTGTGTTAATATAGCCTAGAGGGAATTAGAGAGATTGTCCTAGCGTGGTTGAGCTATCTGGGCCCCAAATGATGTTGCGGAGGTACCAAAGGTCAAGGACAATAGCCAATCATTCTCTCGTATTGTTACGGAGTCACCAATGGGCGGGTTATATTAACAGTTTATGAAATGATGAAAGTTTTCTGAAAAATGGGGAGTGACATGCATGACATTGCATTCATGGTATGGCATTCTTTTGTTTTGGACTTGAAAATGTATATTGTATTTTTTCTCGGCTTTGTATCCTTTCCCTATTGTCCTATTCATTGTTTGGATTCACGGGGCTATAAGAGGTAGGTCTTAGATACTACCTACTGAGCAATTTGCTCACCCCATTACACTTAACATTTTTCAGGACACGGATGGCAAGTGGCGGACGACGCTTTTTCGCAGGGTTTGATGGGTTAGTAGACTATTTTGACATACTTTGTAGTTATAAACTTATTTTATTATTATTATCTATTTATTTATTATTACTTTTTTTTTTTTTTATAAACCCGGAATGACACGTATAATATGTATTGACGTAGGAAAGAATGGTGTTGTCCCTAGTTGACATCGGGTTCGGTTAAAGACCCGGCTAACGGTTCGGACCTACGGGTTCGGGTCGTTACAAATTTGATATCAGAGTAATGGTTCAAATACTATTAGGATGACAGGTAGAGGCCTATCTAGGATTGCATGGGAAAGTTGAATTGCATAACTATGTGCTTATGTGTTAAAGTGTTTGTTAAGCAGTATGCTTATTTGGTTAAGTGCTTATGTGTTCAAGGTTTTGAAATACATGCTTCCTTGTTAAGTGTTCACACGCATATGTGTTTAAATGTTAAAATATGTGTTACATGGCTAGAATGTTTATGTAATAATGATTGAAAGCATGTCACATGTGATAAGTTGGCAAGTAGTGAGTATGGGTTATGGCATGTAAGTTGTGCATGGTAATGTGACGGACAGTTGAGCATGGATTGTGCAAGTGTGTATTATATGAAATGATGATAAGGATAAATGAGAGGTTTAATTTCACATAATGATTTAATGGACTCGTTATTTAAACTGATGTGATAGGACATAGTCATGCTAAGGTTTATGTTCTGGTTACTGTATATATATATATATATATATATATATATATATATATACGTGTATGTCTTGTATATATATTTATATCCATGTGTATGCGGTCGAGCATGGGATGGTTGTGTGAGTTTTGACCTAAATAGGCGAAGAGCTCGGTTGCTCCAGGGTTGTTGGGTGCCAGTTCTTATCGAACGAGTGGCTTGGTCTTTTAGCTTGTGGATTGAGCTATTCAGTGTGTAGTCATCCTGGTTTTCTTGTTACATTTTGTGCTATGCTTAGGGCACGACTTTAGAAAGGGTTCATATTTCATGGCATGGTATCTTTGTTGTGCGTAAGTTTCATGCATCGGCGAATGGGTTCCTGTGACCGTGGAGGTCAGGTGTGTGAGTGAGGGTTTCGAGAGAAAAATGTATGACCTTAGGAGGTTAATGTTTGTGACTTGGGTCACGGTTTGGTATAGAGGTTTTTTTCGAACTAGTTGTGGTAGGTGTGCTAGGAGTTGCTTGAGTCATGAGTGTAGTCTATAGATTGTAGACATGTATTTCAGGTGTTCTGGTATAGTTTAAAGAAGCGTGCTGGTTATAGTTGGTTGATGAGTGATTCCTATTTCGGGAAACTATAGGAGTGTGTCACGGGTAATTGACTCTCGGAAAGTTGATTGCAAGGTTCGGCTGGCGAGCAGGGTTAGGCTGGCACAGTTATTGAGAGCGTCTCGAGATGGTATATAGTAGTCAATTTTAGTTGAGTAGTGTGGGATTGCACAATAAGGAAGGTTGTATGAGGTCATTGAAGTGCTTGGTTGTTTACGGATGAAGTGATAATTGGTGGGGACTGTGTTACTAAATGGACTGTATTTTACAAATTGAAAGTTATTGGCTGGAGTTGTAATTCAAGTTGTGTCTGAAGTATCAAGAGATATTGCTTGGTGTTTGAGGATCCGAAAAGGTAGACTGACGATTAGAATGATTGGGATGAGGTTGATCTTGTAGGTTTAGTTGGTAGCCCCATTTGACTTTTGTCGGGGCCATGGGTGTTCTGAAGAACAGTGCAGAGGAAAGATAATGGTGTTGAACATAGGGTATGAAGTTTGCTTGTTTAAGCATGTAGATTGTCTAGAAAGAGTGGTTTGAGTAGCCAGTTAAGCGTTAGTGATTGATTGCATTGTTGATGGTTTTAAGGAGATAATAAGGTGTTGAGCATTCTGGATTTTTGTGCTCATTATTATTTTGAGGATTTGTCGGCATGGCATTGCTGTGTGGTTGTTCTTTTCTGTGATACCCCTCAATTCTAGAGCCACGGGTGATTAAGTCCGAGCACAGATCCGAGGGATACCAAACAATCAATATATAAACAAGCAAGAATAAAAACTGAATTAAGAATAAAAATAATAATGCGCTGAAAGAAAACTAAAATAAAAATCCTCAAACTCTAAATAATAAATTAATATTATTTAAATCCTTCAAATCCATACAACTCGGGAATCCATCCAGTGGACCCCTAATAATTCTAACTGATAAATAACTTTAAAGAATAAATATTCAAAACTAAAATAAGAAAAGAAATCCTATGTAGTCAGAAGAGTGAGTGACTGAATCTGCATCACCACGAACAAGTCCTAAGTCTGGTACTCACGAACACCTGAAAAATAAAAGTGGGTCAGGCCCACATGCAAGTTCCATCCTACTACAATCCGTACATAAACCCGATACGCAGATACATCCTAGATAGCTCGGCAATATCTAAATAGTCCGTAAATATAAATATATCCACACTATAGGACTTTCCCTGGACTACAAGCCTGTCTCAACCTAACTAGCAAACTTAGCAGGGCACATATCAAACCATTATAGCTAGTTATGCATCCCAATGCATATACGCTCCCTAACCATTGATCTTGAGACTCAAGCTCATATCATGGCATCATAAATATATATATATCTAGAAAATCCATCCAAAACCAACGTAGTGCCGCTCAACTATTCATTGCCAAGACACGACATTTACTTAAGATTTAAATGTTTCAATTAAATTCCTATCCTTCCTACTGCATAAAAATAAAGAGCAAACATCCATTATGTCGTTCAACCATTTTAGTTGACAAGACATACATCCATGTAGGATTTAACTGTTTTAGTTAATCCGTTCCTTATGTATGAAGGGGTAGGACTTAGCTTTTTGATCTAATCCATCCCTGATATGTCACCATCCCATACCGGTACACATAATGTAAATGTTCCACAAGTGATGCACATTCATTAGAACATCAAATATATCCAGAAACCAACATAATAGAAATCAGTTATTAATAAGTTCTTATTATGCATCTAGTATATGATTAGAATCATAAATCCTCCAAATAAATTGTGAAAGTAAAGATAAACAATTTATATTATTCATATCCATACAGTTGATAAACAGAAATTAAAACTGTTCATCAAATAACACCCATAGCATGATATAATGTTTATCAGGGTTATAACCGAGCACATTATACTAAAAAACCCAAAACCAATCCTTTCCTACTAGTCCATTAAAGTTAACCTAACCAGACTAGCGACTTAAACATTCCACAATCCTTAACACCATGCAAGTTATTACACGAATTTAATGATGTTCATTAAGTTCTTAACTATGAACCCAAAGCAAGATATCCTGATGCTCAGAAGTATATACAGAGCACCTACACTCCACTCCCAAAATACATTCCCATTAGTCTGTTTTCCTTATTATAACGACTAATAAAATTAACTTCCAAGTTTCGTGTCTATATGCAAGCTATAACGA